TCTAACTCGCTGACCCTGGATGCTGGAAGCTCAGGGAAGCACCAGGGCACACCTGGAGTCATGGTGCTTTAGGTGGGGTTGACAGACAAGGCACTTTTTGTGCAGGGACATTTCCCAGGCAAATGCCCTGTCTAGCCCCATTTTCTTCAGGGGCTCACAGTGTTCCTCCCTTCCATGTGGCAGGAAAAGTTTAGATCCATGATGACCCAGCCCTTCTCTGAAGGGACCCTGCGTCCTCCCCAGCTGTGGGTACCAGCAACAGAGCGTGACACTGGCACAGGAAACAAGCACACCATGGCCTGCAGGGTGGGAGGAATCATCACTGTGACTGCTGGCATCTGACCCATGGAGGAACCTCGAAGAGAATCTGAGGCAACCACTGGCAAAGGTGGAGCTCCATGGAGAAGGACAATCAGGACTTTTTCGTTCCACATTCCTGCAGCAAGATGATAACGATGGACTAAACTTTAATTGCAACAGAAAGAGATCCCAATTTCTTTCTTTTCTAGAGTTTGGAGGCTGGTTCATATTACTGAGGTTTGTTTTACAGAGTGCATAAGGGCATTCCTGGCTTTCTCCATGCATGACATGTGCCGGGTCTGCTTGGGAAGGATGGGATGAATCCCGAATCCTGTGCAGTGACACGTAGATGTGAGCAGGTGGATATTGCCTGCAGGCAGATGCAACCAGTTGCTGCAGATGCACCTGGCAGTTTATCTGCTGTAGTAAACAGCCTGGGTGTTGTGGTGACGAGAGGCTTTTTCCAGAATGTGGTTTGTTTTTCTCAGGCCCTCTCTGAAGTGCAGTTGGCTTCTCCCCTTCCCATCAGCTCCCTGTGTGCTGTGTGCTAACGTGAAATGATGAGCTTGTCTCCCTCCCTTCTCCACACCAGAGGCAGGAGAGCCGGGATGAGCAGTGACACGTTCACCCCAGCCGTGCTAGCAGAGCTGCTGCCTGAATGAGGCTGTTCCCCTGCTCTGAGTGCACATCTGGGAAGTTGTGCTTCTGCTTTTTGGAGGAGTGGAGCACATAAAACTGGCTCTGTCTGAGCCTGGCATCAGAGTGTGCAGCAGGTTTGTCCATCATACTTTCCACTGAAGTTCTCTTACCTCACCTCCAGTGTTTGAATGTTACAATATGGTCACATCTCCCTTTTGCTCCCCTTATCAGGCTTATCCAACCATGAAGACCAATTACTGATTTTAGTAACTTAATTGTTTTATGAGAATTGAAGCACTTAGCTACTCCTGGGACAGATCACTCTGTATATTCATGGTGACACTATATATCCACTGTGACTTTCAAATGCAAGTGAGCACAGCGTGACTTCTTCTCATCTCTGGAGTCAGTCCCACACTCCAAGTCGTAACAGACAAATGGAAAGAGTTACCAGAATATCATCACTGGCATAAGTAATTCCCATTAGACAGATGTAGAGGAAATGTTAAAAGCAGGCTTGTCCCCTGCTAGAAATGATTTACTTTTTTGGTAATGTGTTCAGCTCTTGCAATGAGAAGGACCAGTGGTGTTATAAAGTTTCAGGAATTCTGGTTGTAAAGACATGATGCAAGTACTGCTAGCTTTCTAAGAATGTCATGTGAGTCTAAGTGGGCTGAAAATTAGAAGCAAACACTTCTCACACAGGCTCTCCCATGGTTTATTAAACAGATTAGTTCTTCAAGGGTTATTTCAGCACTGAATGGTAGCTTGGGAGGTGCATCAGCTACAGGAGAACAGAGCAGGAAGATTTGATGCTTTGTATGTAATTGCAAAAGACACAGCTGAGAGAAATAATTTGGAGCCTGTATGAATCTGAAATTTATTTGGGTTTAATGTGCTACCAAAAAGTGCACATGGAAGAATTTGCTTTGGACTTCTCCCTCAAATTGCAGCAGTTAATAGGCATCTTTGAAAATACTCAACCTGGTTTCTCACTGAAAATTGAGAAACAGGAATTTAGATTTTGATGTGTTG